TTATATATATATATATATTAATGTACTTGTGTGGAATATTAAATAATTTCGATCTGATATTTTATTAGATAACAAAAAAATAAGAAATTCAAAGTCATCATTGAAGAGGAACGTTGAAACAATACAAAATTCTAAATATTAGTAGAATACGTTAGAATGTTCGAACAATATTTTAATTGATTGTTAATTAATCGAAAAAAATGTCTATTGTTATTTAAAAACACCAAATATATGGATGGGAGTACCGTCCTCTTCGAAATCTTCCGTTAGACTGATTCATTATTCTTAATGAAAGTTTTTTTATTAAATATTGTTTATATGACATTCCGAATGTTGCGCATGTGTATAAGGGAATAATACATCTAATAAAAAGAATTTAAGATTATAACGTGCTGATTTATCATTTTTTTTTTAAAAACGATATTACTTTAGTAAGGCGGGTGGGGGATGGTCAATAAAAAAGAAATGTTGTTCTTTTTCAAAAAAATGCTAAATCAGAACGTTATAATCTTAAATTCTCTTTACTAGGTGTATTATTCTCTTTACACACATGCGCAATGTTCGGAAAGTCATATATGTAAACAACTTTCAATAAAAGTATTTTCACAGAGGACAATGATTCATTTCAACGGTGGATTTCGAAGAGGACGGTACTCCCATCATATATTCGGTGTTTTTAAACAACATTAGATACTTCTGTCGATTATTTAATAATAAATTAAGGTAAATCGAACACTCTAATGTATTTTACTAATTATTTAGGATTCTTTCAACGTTCTTACTTAGTATTAATTTAGAGTAGAACATTTTTCATCTCTAATTAAATATTAAATCGAAATTGTGTTTAATATTTCAAGTGCATTAATAGATATTTTATTTTTAAACAAATGTAATTTGTATTATGTTTACTTTTATTGATATTACTTAAACTGATTCTCATATTAAAAAACATTTAAATAACAGTAAAAACAAAGGGTGATTAATCAATTTTTAGATGTGAAGAAACCAGGTACATTCCCTTTGTTATACCATTATGTACGATTTTAAAATATGGTCGTTTCCTATATATTAATTTTGCATTTTTTTTTTAATTCGTTAGCTATAAATTAAACTTTCAAAAGCTTTATGTATGAATCAATTAATTATTTTCCATATAATAATACTACTCTCACTTCTATCACATATGAAAGCCACGCATATTCGTTGTAACTTTTAATTTTTATTTCTGTTAATAAATAAATAAATAAATAAATAAAAAATATTCGAGATATATTAAGCATAAAACGTGTAAAGAGACTTGGATGAGTCGAATAAACTGCCTTAGCGGAACACAGTGGTTCGTGCATTGTTCATTGTTAACAAGATTTCTACGAGTCATTTATAATAACATCGCGTAGAATTGTAACCAGTTCACACAGATAAATGTGTGGTAAAATGATGTGAGACTATTAGTGGAAATCTTCTCAAACTCGTTACTCGATTACCACATATTCCAAGTCTTGAATTTCCTTTTGCTATCGTGTCTCGCGTGCCACGTTTTCACGTTTTCTCTTCTATTATCATTATAAACCAACATCGATCACATAGCGCGTTGAAAGAAAGATGTCTTTTTCCTTTGCGTTAAAATCGCTTTTAATCTCGTTTTAATCGTAATCACATCGAGATAACGATCGTAGAAACCTAGATTCCTATCTTTGCTTTCTCCTTTTACGTTTTCTTTTTCTTTTTCTTTTTCTCTTTTACAAATTCACTGATACAAAGCAACAGCAGCAGCAGCAGCAGTAACAGCAGCAACAGCAGCAGCTTTGGAGTAGACGATCAAAGAACTGAGATAAATTATTTGTCAAAGTTTTCTGATCAAAGTACTTTGATGATGGACGTGCGCTTTTTATTTTCTTTTTTTTTTTTTTTCCTAACGACGATTTTGTACTTTTCAAACAGGATCAAAAGGGTACAAAATGCAAGAAACGTTCGTCGACGTGTTGCCCTCGAGGAATAATAGGAGATGATGACGAAAGGAAAGATGGAAAAAGGGGTGAGAGAATTGCCGAAGGCAACTTCCACCAAGTCGCCTAGTTTTTTCTGACAAAAAATTCTTTTTTTTTTTTTTATTATTTCCTCTCGTATTTTTCCAACGATCTGGAACACCGACGAGCTGGCGAGTAACAAATTTTGATTCTATTTCCAAAATTTTCTCAATTATCTCTATCTAGCATTGATTAGATAATCAAACACATTGTTCGTTTGTTATAGATAATAAAGTACATATATAAATATTAAGTGTAGTAATGAATTTTGTGTCTTGATAATTAATATTAATTGTATCAAAATTGTCATTTTTTCTTGTTGTTAACGAATTTGCAATTTGCCTTGGAATGATCGATGATAATCATTAGAAATTATTCATACTATTTCGAATTATAACACAGATCTATTATTACTTTATTAATGAATATTCAATTTGTTAAAAAGGTAACACGAATTAATAACTACACCTATATCTAGCATTGATTAGATGATCAAACATTATTCGTTTGTTATAGAGAATAAAGTACATATATAAATATTAAGTGTAGTAATGAATTTTGTGTCTTGATAATTAATATTAATTGCATCAAAATTGTCATTTTTTCTTGTTGTYAACGAATTTGCAATTTGCCTTAGAATGATCGATGATAATCATTAGAAATTATTCATACTATTTCGAATTATAACACAGATCTATTATTACTTTATTAATGAATATTAAATTTGTCAAAAAGGTAACACGAATTAATTAAACTATACCTAATATATATATATATATATACAAATACAAATACATATACATATCAACATTTGCAAATACAAATAAAAGCTATGCTATAATCGTTCACAATAATCTTAACGTAATATTATTTATTTATTTAACGTTACTAAAACCATTATACAGAATACAACTTGGCAATAAAGCTTAATTTCAATAGAAATGCAAATTAAATCGAGTAACAACGGAAAATCGACGCGTTCGATAATCCGATCAGATAGCCGAACGAATGGACCACCTCCTCTCCTATCCGGGTGGAATGAGTACGTGGCATGATTTTGCATTATACAGAAGAGTGAGTCCGCGATGTTCGTAACGTCGTCGTTGGCGAGTTGCTAAAACGGGGACGAACAAAGTCGAATTAATAGAATGTTATGGAAAAAAAAAAGAGAAAAGAAAAAAAAAAAGAAAAAGAAGAAAAAAAAAATGCAGCAAGCCGCACGAAGTGTATTAGATAAACGGAACGGGTGAGAGAAAAAGAGAGAAAGAGTGGAGGAGGGAGGGAGGGTGGTAGAGGGTGGGAAGAGGGGGGGGGAAATGCATAAGCCTCAGTTTTAATGAGGATGTACGCGTATTATGATGGCGTAGGTCGTTCATTGCATTTCTAATCTCGTCTCGTGAGGGTATGTTAGCGGTGTTAATGGTAACGATATAGTGTCGATAAACTATACTAAACATCCGACACGATTCGACGACCGTGTGTGTCTATACAGTAGGCCAAGGATTCTCCTGATTATGCGAATGATATCGCATATCGTTGACTAGTTCATAAGCAATCCTACTATTCTTCTTTGATCGTTCTATTATCTATTAGAACGTTCATAGGTGAATAACGCATATTACGTATTTCCAACGACTATCGACCTATTTTATTTCAATTTTCTAACGTTAATCTTTGTATTATAATAAATCATAGATTTCCTCGACTGTGTGTGTGTGTGTAAATTGGAAATATAATAATTTATATTATTTTTTTAATTGTGTATAATGGAAAATTTTGAAATTTTTATAATATACATCGAGTAACTTTTTTATTTTAGGATTTTATACAACTTTTAAATTAATATGAATTTCTTTTTTATTCTGTTAGAGAGAAATATAATTTTAATTTAATGATCAACAATTGAGATTATTTTACACAAGAGTACTTTTTACTATATAAAATAAAGAAGATATTATAAATATATAATAATTATTTTTGTAAGTAATACTTGGTTGGCTTTCTTCTTTTGCATCTTATAATTTTTACGAGACTGTATATCGACTATAAATGACGAAAAGCAACGCAACCATTTTGTATATTACATAGGGTATATCCACGCAATTAGATTACTCTAATTAATTGCGTTGTTAACAGAGCGATTTTCTTTATTATCTTTCGGATGACTCAGTTCGATGAAGCTTTACAAAGTAATTACTTTTTCCATATCTTATATATTACTGTTAGTATAATATCATTCGTTAAATTAGCTGAAACGTTTCTTTTTTTTCCCTAGGAAAGGAATTTTTACACGATTATAGAAAAAAATATAATGTAATATTGCGAGAGACAAATATGAACTTTCAAATAATCACGATGGATAATTTTCGTTATTTTTTGTTATTCACAGGGGGACAAATTTGCACGTAAAACTTGCATATTTAAACAAGAAGAAGATCTACCTCGACTAAACTTGAAATGTCGTTAAGATTTCGAAATGGTGGGTGGGTGGGTGCTTTGGTGGTAGTGGTTGATGGTGACATTTTCCCAAACTTATAATACTTTTAAATATATGTTAATTTATAACGAGATAAAATATTGTAAGACAAGTGTTCTTCGGTGGGTTGAAAATGAGTGGTTGTTAGAGAGAGTAGGTGATTCATTAATGCGAGAGCCGTGATTAATAATTAAATGCGCAAGCTATGTGGGTGGAATCATTCGAGCATGGACTTCATTGAACAAATATTTGGACAATGTATATACTCATTTAAACGAAATTCTACTTACATCTAATGAAACATTCGTCCCTAACCCTCCTTCCTTCCATTTTACTTAAATTCAAACCGTATTCCGTTACGGTACGTTTACGTTCTTTCACAATCGTCGTTCAACATACGTTAAGTGGACAACAGTGCGGTCAGATGAGTCGGTTTACTTCCAAGTTAATTTTCCACTAAAGCAATTTTTACTGGATAATAATTTTTTTCCATGAAAATTACACGTATGGTATTTATTTCTCTCTCTCTTTGTTTAAATTTAAATACTATATTTCTAATTGATTCTCTTTACATATTTTTCTCATACGCTTTGATTATAATTAACGAAGAAAAAAATCCGTATTACTAAATAATAATTTATTATTTAATAATGCATGTTACGTTCGTAATAAATTAATGAGATATTCATAACCCATAGAACGATATTTCTATCATTGAGAGAAACAATGGAATTTGATTTAAAAGTAATTAAAACGATTGGCGTTACGTTAAATGAGAAGATACCACATATGGTTCGTTCATATTGATGACAACATGCTAACCGAGATGTTAAGTAGGTTTTATGTAACGACGTGTTTATTATTCGAGTATAATTCATTTCGTTTCTCATATCACACGGCTATGAGTTGGGTGTATTCTTCTTTATGCTAATTCGAATGAAATTTCGTTTTATTGTCGATGTATATGTCGAAGGAAAAAGAACAAAAATATTCGAAATGTGAATGTGTGTTTTAAATCTTAAATTGAAAACGAAAGAGATAAAGTTTCGCCATAGAAAATGAAGAAATGATGAAACCTAACAAGCCATCCGTTAAGAATAAGATTTATATTTCTTTTTTTTTTTTTTATCTTTTTTCCAAGACGTTCCTTTTTTATAATAATATATTATTTTGTAGGTCGAGAGAGTAGTTAGTGTCAAACGGAAGAAATAACTTTTAGTCTCTTATCTTTTGATACGATGTCAAATGTTATCGACATTTCGGTAAACTTACTCGGAATACTCTTATTGAGAAACTTACGATCCAACCCGTCTAAAAATCATATTTCATATTGAGTTAAACATTCTATTTCTGTTTAGTAATATTGTATCTTAAATGAGAAACTTATCGATTATCTTTCACTTATTTTGACTTTCAATCCTTTAGACATGGGTGGGTATACCAATTTTCGATGCATTATCTTGATCATCGAAATTGAAAGATCGGAAAATAATTACTTAAAAAGCACTTTGACCTCGTTTCCCTATCACCCTACCCTCATCCTCCTCTGCCCATCATATATTTTAATGTTTGTTTTATACCATACTTATCTTGGAAGAATTTAGGTATTCCAGAATTTGTTAAAAGGATCTATTGAAAAAAGGGACGCTTGAAAGTACTTCGTTAGATTTCTTTTTTTTTCTATGGAAGTTAAATAGAACGAACGGTAGCACAAACTGCCCCGAGCTTTCGATAAGCTCAAAAGCGATATTTACTCGGCAGGTTTCGTTTCAAAGAGAAGAAGAAGAAGAAGATGAAGATGAAGAAGAAGAGGAAGAAGAAGAATAAGAAGAGAAGACCTTTACGCACTGCCCTATATAACGTAGATATTTTTATCGGTGACTCGTTTACATGCACGCGTCGTCAGAAACACATTTGACTGTTGGACCAACGCGTTGTTTTTACAAAAAAAAAAAAAGAAAATACAAAACGAAAGGAAAAGAAAGAGGGAGAGAGAGAGAGAGAGAGAGAGAATGCGAAGGAAATAAATTTTGTTTCTAAATAAAAATTTGTGTATAAATATCTCTATACCAAATGAAATTAATAATTATAATTAAAACAGAAATGTGTGTGTTTTTATATAGAAAATTTATAAAAAAAAACGGTCCGTATATGATGTTATGACGTTTTCAAATTTTTGAATGTTTGCGAAAAAAAAAAACTAGCCTGCGAATTAAAGTGAATTTGGATAGCACACTGATCTATGTTATAAAATGAAATATTTGATATAAAATTTGTATTTAATATCCATTTATTACTCGTTCTTTCATTAATATTATATTAAACCAAGAAAACATGAGTCACATTTTCGCTCATGTCAGTGATTCATATTTGAGTTTAAAGTGTATTCCCGGTAAGAACAACAGAGATTCGTAGGTGCCTGAGACATAATTTACGAGAAAGAGAAAGAAAGAAAGAAAGAAAAAAACACATTGTGATTAAGAACGCGTAAACGTATATATAAAATTCTAACAAAAATAAAATATTCGAACGCGAAAAATTATTAAAAATCTGTTTCTATTATAACACATATGTACGGTTTTTCGATCAACGCGAGTTCGAAAAGATCTATCTATGGTTAACATTGAATATTATTTCAAAAGCAGACTACGTAAGTTAGTTTACGTAGGCAGCCATATAAGTTCGATCATCAATGATGACGATTTCCAGACGTTGGTGTAAAATTTTGTGCTTGTCATGAAAATGAGTTTCTGGTATGGTCTGGAATCGGTGTAAATCGTTGGCACAGTCAGAAGACGCGTGTAGAATCCTTTCCTTTCATGTAAAAACATACGCACGTATGCATGCATGCATGTATGTATACAATTGCATACACACATAACACATAAATAAGACAAGATAGACATTCATCTAGAATGCGTCATTAATCTTTTCCAGATCGATACGATTGTGCTATGTATGTGTGTGTGTGTGTGTGTGTGTGTGTAGTTAGACTATAAATCGATGTTAGGAATGGCAGATTTACGTGTAAACCTTGTACAATATTATTTCGAGAAATGAAAAATAAAAAGGATAATATCGCGTTTCTGTTAAACATAACTCGTAAATATCGATGAGGATAAGTTTGGACAAAGTTTGGACGACGTTTGGATGATAATTATCATGGATGGGTGGGTGGATGAGATGTCTTTATTATAAACAGTGGCTCGCAGATCGTTTATCGCAAAGAACCCATAGAACGATTAGTAAACCGATACGCTTTCCGTTTGTTCGACATAAGCACGTTTTCTGTTCAGACATTCTGAGTTAACGCGAAACTGTCTCTGTATAAATGTGTAGACCAAATATATATATATATTTTTATACGTATATGCGTGTATATATGACATATGTGTGTACACATATACAAAAGTATGCATACGTAGACAGTATGTAGACGAGTTTTGAAGGAGACGCCGGTTCAGCAAGTTTCTTCTCGAAGATAGAAAGAGTCAAACGCGTGTGTGTATGTGAACGTATTGGTAAGAGAAGGATGAAGGATAGGGAATGAAGAAAGAGAGAAATGAAAGAGGTATAAAAGAACAGGAGAACTCCCATACTGAAACGATCCGCAAGGTCGACAGTGGAATCGTTTCTCTTCTCATCGCTCTGTCTTCTTCTTCTTCTTCTTTCTCATTTCTTTTTCTTATTATTTTTCTTATTCTTATTTCTCTACTTCATTTCTTCTTTCTTTATCTTCTTCTTCTTCTTCTTCAATTTCAACTTCGTACGTCTTTTCCGGTTGCGAATGAACGCCGAAAGTTTTTCATTTTTGTGTTTTTTTTTTTTTTTTTCAGGTATATGGAATATTAATATCAGAAAATGTATTATATATTTTCCCCGTTAACAATTCTAATAAAATATATATACATATATTTTTCTTCTCTCTCTCTTTCTTTTTCTGTTTCTTTCCAGTTATATTTTCATTCTATAATAATTTTTCGAAGGACAAACAAGATATTACTCGGATGTTCTTGACTTCGTTGAATCTTAATGAGGTTGATATATAAAAAAGAAAAAAAAAATAATTAGAAAACTTTATAACAACGTTCGGGAGAGAAATAGACGTAAAAACTTTAGTTGGTAGAAAGAAAATGATGTAGAAACGAAGAGAGAGAGAGAGAGAGAGAGAGAGAGAGAGAGAGAGAAAAAAAGAAAGAAAAGAACACCGGTAGTCGTAAAAAGAGATGAGAATTTTTGATCGATCCAGAGAGAAATAATATTTAATTTAAATATTAAAAAACTAATATACTTCGTGTTTACTCGTGTTAATAATTATTTTTATTTGAAGGAAGTATGCACATACCATTTTACCTTTACCGAGTATGAATGCAATTTACTTGATTGCGTTGCCGTAGCGAATTCATATATTTCGTTCGTTGTTGTTTGGTTGCTTGGTTGTTTGTGTTGTAGTTTTTTCTCAAAGCGACTTTTACGACAAATCGTATCGCGTAGTAGTTTAGTTTACCGATAAGGATTAATTGCAGCGGTATGTACATCGAGTGCAGTTTACTTTATCCATCGGTAAGTCATTGCGAGTGAAAATCGGTTAAATCGTAGGCTAGACACAGGTCGACTGAAATCAATAAAGTTGTAGTGTTACATGACTCTGTTGTAACTGTGTTCGTACATATGTACTAAATCCAGTAAAAGGAAAAAACAAAAAGAAATATATTATATTTTTTTTTATGCACATCTCATGTTTTCCATGTTTAATTTAATCCAAGGATTAAATCTATCTAAATTTCATTTAAATTGATTATTATTTTTGTGACTATGTATTACGATGACATTATTCATTGCGTTACGATAATATAATTTATAAAGATCGATTAGATTTATTCTCGAAAATTATCCTAATTACGAATAAATATTAAAGAAAATTTTCTTCGACGAGTTTTTCTATCTGCAAGGTGTATTACGACGATTACATTCATTCATTCATTCATACGATATTATTGATACTTTTAATAGCCATTTAAATACCGCATGATAATTACTTGTCAATTGTGCAAAATTTTCATTGTTTATGTATTAATTGTCTAATTAACGAGAAAAGTTAATAGAAAGGAAAAAAATAATTGAAGAATAAATTAATACTGCTCCTGATAGGAATGATGATATTAAATTTATCGAACTCGCGTCTTCATCGCGATTTGTTGTAAAGGTTCTCGATATTGAAAAGCCTTCGACCTTTTCATTTTTTTCTTGTTTTTTTTTCTTTTTTTCTTTTTTATGCGATAGCAGACAATGTTTCAGGGTCGCGAATAGGAATCTAGTGGGAAAGGTCGAAGATTAAAAAGCGTTCGTGTCCCGTTGGGAGCTTTGTTCGAAAAAAGTCATTTCGGCTAGGACTTATTATAGAACTCTTTCTCTCTCTCTCTCTCTCTCTCTCTCTCTCTGTCCTATCCCTTCGTCTGCATTTTTTTGTCGAGACAGAGTATCTATCCACGAACGTACGTAGTTACTTTCGAACAATATGATCCATCGTGGATTAGTGTCTATCAACAGAGAATGCATTCGTACAATTGGAATTGTTTGAATCGATCGTCGAGAAATTTTCAGCGACTGAGTAGGTGTCGGAGACTTAAATGCACGGAAATACGGATTCTTTTCAAAATGGAGACAATTTTTTGTGTTGGGATATTTTGTCTATTTATTTCTCACATTTAAATATTATATATAGTGTTCATATATAACGGATCAAAAGGTAACGAAGTTTAGATGTGTAATGTTTTGAATATTAGAAAAATGTATGTCTGCTTAAATAAAAAAGATGTTGAACTTTAGAGATTAAGTAGCTGAAGAAGTCCCAATAATCCAATTAATCAAAACGAAGTTCTAGTTCTTTTGAATGTCCAAATTCCCTACGATACTTATTTATTAATAATTATATATATATATATATTTTCATTTACTATATTTATAATAAACGATTTGTAAAATATATATAATAAATTCTTCAAATATTTTATTTTTTATTATTTATAGATATTTTTTACCTTATTCTTATTTATTTGAAAATACACAATAACGAGATATTAAATAATAAGAGATACACCACGTGTATATCTTTTGATACGATAAGAGATTGTTTTTAACTCGACCTTATATTCTTTAGTTTGAAATTAGTATGATTAAAAATTTACGATACACGTCATCATTCCTCCAATCGATAAAAATTACCTTGTCGTTAAATAAAGTGTAAGGTAGCGTTATACCTATCTCGAACCAACGAAATTAGATCGTAAGTTAGACTTTGCTTTGTTAAATCTTTTGTGTTTAATCCACGTACAATCAGAAACATCTGGAATGATTTTGTAGATCATATAATTCAATGAGACGGCATACACAGATTACGCGTGATGCATTTAATGATACAACATATCGACTCGATTAAAATCTCTGCATATAATATGTTGAAGAAGTGTCGAGGATAAATAATGCGAATCGTTACTGAGAATGTACATTGCACGTAATACGATAATGTCTCGTAGCGAGTTCACGAGTTGATGAGTTTTAACGATTACGTAAATGATATGTTGTAATGTAATTCGTTTGCGAATTAAAAAATAATACACGAGTGAATAAAAGTGTGTTGGGTAATAAATTCAATGAATTTCATTCAATTTTCTCTCCAAATTAGAAATTATCAAATCATTCAAAAAGAATTCTTTCCTATATTTCACTGACAAATATAATAAATATAATAAATAATTAGATCGTCTTTTGTAAAAAGAAGTTCGAGTCAATTTCTCTGTCATTTTACTGTTGTATTTTTTTTTTTTTAGAATCAACAGTAGAAACGAGTAATCACCAAATTCATTTTATTAATCGTGCCCAGGTTTACTTAACTATAATGTATATATATATAAATATATATTTTACAAATATAAATATTTATAAAAATCTATACTTACGTATTGTCGTAATCGAACGTGTTTACATGAGTCTCGGGCTTGCATAAAGGATGCATGCTTCCTCGAATGACAAATGTTAGTTTGACGGTGTGAAATAATCGAGACGGGTGTTAAATCGAAACGAGACATCCTTTCTCTTCGCATCGAGAGTCTCTAGATTGGTAGAATTGTCTCTTCTTTCATGGTTGGTCGGTTGTATGTACCAACGGGTACCAGAGTACGCGTACGACCTCGACTTGCCGCTTCCAAGGTAGTTAGGTATGTGGCTCGCGTGACGTTACTTATCCAAGGTCGGATGATGAACCGAGAAGTCGATGTGGTTCTTCTTTACCAGTGTTTTCAACCTACAACAATTTACAATCATTCGAAATTCCTTTATATTTTTGTCCTATTTTTATATAGAAAACGAGTTTGAACGTTCAAAGGAATATAATGTACATTGTTGCGATAGGTCGAGTACGATAAAAAATTTTCGAATAAGAAGAAGAAGTACAGTGAAGCTTTTTGTGTTGCACATGTCTATGAACCCCTTTAACATTTTTCATAATTTTCTTAATTCTCAATTTATTTAAAATCAAAGTATATTCGTCCTGGTAGGGGGTGGGGGGAAAGGAAGAATTGCAATATTTTGCTTTACGATTGGTATAATAGTTGTTGGGAAAAAAGTATTTATCATGAAAAGTTTCTATTTAAATTTATTATCGTCAAAATTAAAAGGATAATCGAAAAAAAGTATCTCTTCACGAGAAGTATACTCCTCGATCACAGTTTTTAACAGGTTAAATTTTATTTATTTATTTCGATAATCTTGAATCGTGTTTCGAGTGTATTTCTTAGCTTATTTCTTCATATATTATTTCAATATGGTATGTGTAATACAATGATATACCGTTCTCAATGTAAAAGAGAATACGAGTGTAATGTTATCGCGATGTTCTCGTAGTTTACTTGATAACCTACCTCGCATGCAGTTACAGGTGCGATTGATTTACGAATACGCTTGGCTTCCTTGATGCATTTTCAATTCATTTAACTTTCATAACTCTTTTTTTTCACTTTCTCGTCATTTCGTTTATTTTTGTTACAAGGATCGATTTATCGGATCTTTGAATTTCAACGAAAATAATATAACTATCTTATTTCATTAATTAATTGTTTATTGTTGTATATTTCAGATCTGGAACTACCTTGAACGGATTTAAAAAGGAAAGAAACTCGCGAGCAAATAGTAAAATTTTCTTTAAAACGAAAGATGTTTCAATCAATTTTCAAGACGAGTCAAACAAGTTTTTCTCGTGTTTCCTGTTAACAACGTCAGTCAAGTTAAGTTTGATATCAATCAAGATATAGACGGAAACGTAAATTGAAGTAAGAATGAACGAGTAACGGAAAATTTGACGAATGGCAGAGTTGAGCCGTATTATAGTTAAGAAGGAGGACTAAGCTTCTCGAACATTGTCCTCGATCAGCGGTGGCGATGTACGAAAAGAGCTCCTTCATTGAAAGAGTTGCTAGAGAAAGGCACTATAAATAGTCTTACGTGGGCTATTATGACGGAATACTTGGATCCACATTTCATCCGGGCTCTTTGCCGCGATCCAGAAAGACGAAATCTTCAGGTAATATTTTATTATCATTAATATAATACATTTTTAATAACATCACACACTTAACACCAATCAAAAGTTTCTTTTTTTTTCTCTAACTGTATAATTAACATTATCTCGTAACATTTATAATCTCTGAATAATTAGAAACAGTTAGTAATAAGTTTTAAGGACACTTCTCATAATATTTAACATTAGCAAGCATGAATAATGTTTGCTGAGTTTCTCTCTCATTCCTGTGTAAGTTAGATCGATCCAACATAAGTCAAATTTCCTCGTAACGGAAACTAGATTATATATTTGTACACGTGTATAATATTTGTATATACGTTTATATGCACAATGGTATTTAGGAAAGGTGAAAACTAGAATAGGAAATAGTCGATTTTTCTTCCAATGTGTTCCATCTGTCAATTGAGAGAGGACAACTTGATAGCTTTAATCCAAGTCTAGTCGAGAGGATAGATCTTTCCCCTTACTCTAGTAAGGCATGATGATTAAAGGCTCTCTCAACTAGAACGAGGAAATCGTCCATTTGTAGTAGTGATTCCTATGTAGAATTTCTATTTACATATATAATACTAATACTAATACGAGAAAGTCAAGAAGAAATAGATAAACGTACGTTACAAATGTACGACAATTCTCATGTGAGAATTCTCATATATACGATTTGTCTTATAATAATTAATTATTGTACTCTTTTTTTTGATCATTCTTCTGCGAAAATCTCTTTCTCGTGGATCGTTAAATTTGTATCGAACATTAAAATCCGTTTGATGTCTAGTTAAACGAAATCCTAAACGATTTTGATTCTTTCGTCGATATATTTTTATTTCTTTTTATTTTTCTTTTCTTTTTTTCTTCAAACGGAGATACGAAACGACTTTAACGATGTTGGTACTTAAAGGTAGTATAGTTCGTTCAAACGACTCACCCACGCGAGTACCAATGAACGATCGAGAAGAATGCTCTGCTTGAGTGATCCTATTTCACGAAGTCAAATAACAACATTCTATTCGACGTTTATTTTCATCTTCAAACGAGGTATATTCTACCAACTCTTCCCCCCCCCCCCCGCCCTTTCCCAACTCAACCCATCAGAAATATAAAACGTGTAAATGATAATGGGCTTTGATAAGGAACCTTGTAGAACGTTACTATGTGTTATTTCTATCCTGCTGTGCTTGCAAAACCTTCATCGCGAAAATCAATGATCGCTCGGAACGTAACCTTTTTTTTATTATTACTATTTTGTTACTTGTACAAATTTTTTTTGCGGTGTAAATTTTCAATGATACCCAACTTTTAATTGTTCCTTGTTTTTTTCTCTTGAAGTAAGTACAATTAAAGATTCATTATTTAAAGTAATCATTGATTCATTTCGTACGATACCCCTACTTCAAATAATCGTGCGAAGTAAACCAAAAAATTATTATTAAAAAATATGAATAAAAAACAACGTACACGTTTATACTGTTAACTTGGAAAAAGATTGAAGTACGGTGAACATAATGACCGTTTCTATTATATTTCATGTTTACGAAGCGTTACGTTATCGCATATTCGTTTTAACCATCTCGTATAATTATCTCTTGAATTAACATCCTAACGAGAAAGATTATATACAAAATTATTTCGAACACATTTTCACATAGAATCGTAAACGACGATTTATTTTCGTGACAAATATCGAAAGGATCGAGGACCTCGTTGAACATTTTTTACGAAAGGTGTTCGTCTTCTCGTCGTCGTTCATGCGATCCGTACTCGAAGGTCGTCCGGTGTTCGCTCCAGTTTTCGTATAAAAAAAAAAAAGAACAAATAGCGTAAAAGAAGGGTGAGGGGGGGGGGTAGAGAGAAAGAGAAAGAGTAGAAACGACCCCTTTTTTTCTTCGTTCGAATGAGGGGAATGCAGCAAGCAACTTGCGAAGGATTCGCAGACGGTACGGCGCCTCTTTCGAGAAAAAGTGTGAGAGTTGTTGAAACGGTGGGGTGTTGGTGAGGGGGAAAAAACGGTGGGGTGTGGGGGGAAGGGAAAGGAAACTTACGCATATGTACGCTCGCATATTTATGATCCCATTTTCTTGTCTTTCACGCTGGAACACCCTCGATCATTCCAAATTTTCATTTTGCAATATCCTCTTGCGTTAAGGTGTGTCTCCTGAAAACTTGTTCTTCTATTTAAAGTGGAAAAGTTTGATTAGTTTCATTCATACACGTTGTGTATGTGTGTGTTTATCGATGCATCGTTCGATGCATCATCGCAAATCTCGTATATTTTCCTTTCCTTTCTTTTCTTATCTTTTTCCATTCATGTAAACCTATCGTTGATTTAAGAAATTATGCATGTTTTTTTCTTTTGTGCAGTTTTCTTTTATCGTTCGTAAGATTATTTTTTACATTGTTCTTACGAAGATTTAATCAAGCTAACAGAGCATGACGTGTCGGCTAACTCATTCTCGAAGTGCATCGAAATGGCTTGCTAATTGTTAGTTTGATTAAGAACGATGAGAATAATTAACAAGTTATCATAAATGAACCCAGTTCGAACAATCGAGAACTGGAATGAATTTTTCTATTGTTAACTTTTGAACAATGATAATACGTGATATTTATGATAGATCAATAATACTTTTTACAATTTATACTTAAGGTGGATGAACCGGATCATTTTTTTCATTCGTTTTAATTAAAAATTGATACATGTAAATTTTTATTAAAGCAGTTACATATTTTTTTCTATTCGAACTATTATACTTTTTTTCACGATTACACATGATTAATGATCGATCAATTAAACAGATAGGATTAGAGATATCGGACAATTTATTAATCATATTTATTCATTTATTTTAAAACTTTATAGTGTTAAGATTGTTATTGCACTGAATGTATCTAATTTCGTACGATCTCAAAGCTAAATATTTCATGGTATAAACTTAGGAATCCACGATTAATCTCAGCGGGAGAGGTATTCCTTAAGTTCAGCAAAGATTTAACAATGTTCTCCTCAGATTCTCCTAATCGATGTTCTTGCTTGCTCAGAAGCTGACATTAGTGAAACATGTAAATTGTACTAATGCATGGAACTGAATTAGTAAGGTATTAATAAACTGGAGATATATAACGTAGAAATAGTTCGTGAGAAAGCAATTGATCGTAAAATTTAACGCGAATTGTTCATGAATCATTTGTGAGAAATTATTTGAATATTTTTTGAAAGAAAACAGAAATTTGATAATTGAGTAATAATAAAATAACACAATCTGCGTTTGTTTTATGTAAGACATTTTCTTGCATCTGTTTAACGTTGTGGTTTCTTTTGCTTTAGGACTTACAGATCATATATTATGGACTACTGGGACTTGAAGCATTACGTCCATGCAGAGACTCTATTCTGCGCGGTTTATGTAAAATTGTACGGTACGAAAGACATAATGCGAACCATGTCTTGTATTAGTAAGTATTTTATTAATTATAAAATACTTTTTTTATTATTTATTTTTTCTTTTTTTTCATAATTCAAGCTTTTTAAGTTCTTTTAATATTTCTGTTATTTAAATTTTAACGTGAATGAAATTCTATGGAAGATGAAATATTAATTAAATTTATTCAATAAAAAATAATTATGAATTATATAATTTTATGTATCAATGATCTTCTATTGGGTTGGTAGCTAAGTGAATGCGATTATTTGAATAATAATCTATCGACAGAATCCGCACTCACTTAGTTGCCAATCCAATAGAAATATTTCATGATCTGTACAAGATAAAGTAGAAACACGGTGAAGTTGAATTCTACTTTATCGACGGTTATATTAGTCGGTAATATTCTACCTTATCGCTTGGATATATTGAAAGGTAATATTGTTGTCGGTAAATTTACTCGTATAATAAGACAAAGTAGAAAGTTCAATTGTTAAGATACAGATGTTGTTGTCTTACAATTCATTGAGTAAAATTATTTAAAATTTCAAGAGAGAAATTAACTATTTTTAAACGTGTGCATAAGAAGAATTTTTGTACGGTTTCAAATAATAAATTCATTGGTAATTTAAATGCTATTAATAAATTATAAAATGCATGTAATGTAACTATATAAAAGTACGCGAAGGACATTGTAATTATCAGCACGAGCTTATTAGCGCAGATAATCAATATTACAGTAGCATTCATGCTCTTTCCGGCCTAACGGAGGTGAAACTTCCGGTATGCGAATCAGAGCGAAAGAGGAAGGTTATGCAATTTGTATTCTTTCACTATGGTCACACCTATCAATAATCGTTCTACGAAAAACTCTACTCGAAATAATTTTTAATAAATCTAATAATTAACGTTTGTGCGCTAATAATTAGCGTTTGTCCATGGTTAAGAGTTGCATCGGTCAAGTTAATTATTCTTTACTGATTCAATGTTCCTATTGTCTTAAATGTTTCTACCGGTCTTGTTATGTCATGTTCGGTTTGCATAATTTCAGCACCGGCGAATTGGCAACCAGCTGGTACATACTCCTCTCAGGTTCTGTGTTTATCGATGGATCCATGTACCTGCCCTGTTCCAGGTAAAGTTTAATTTATGTATCTGTAAACATTCTGTTGAACGTTTTAACGATAAGTGCGCGAAAAGAAAAATCAACTTCTATCGGAAGAGATTTGTAATCCGGAACTTGATTTATTACTTATTATAGAATATTTTTAATGAATTATTCATTAACAAGTATAATTAACATATGTAATTTAATAGAATTTTAATTTTAAATTATGACGAATCGAATTGTCGTTTGTAAATTTGAAATTTAAAATTTGTCGTTCAACTTTGTTGCTTTTTCGTATTCGATTAGTATGACAATATCATTACTGTTATTATTTTATTTACTATTTCAACTTAATTTATCATTACCTGTATTAAATTGCAACAACAAAATATTAATATTATAAAGACTTGATCATCTGACTGGTTCCGGTAAAAATATTCAAATATAGGTATGTGAACTCTGTCGATAGTTTTAATGTTTAAAATCAAACACACAAAGTAATATTATTTGTATATTAAAGAAAAAATAATTAAAATTAAACATGACGATGTTAGTAATACGAGGATAAAGGATTATAAAGAATTAGAACAGGATATTTTGGTATTAACTGATCAATCCCATTGCCAAATTCATTTGGTGCAATAAGCATATCGTAGTTTTCTTCTATTATATGCACATTGATGTATGGCATTATTCCAATATAATATTTCTTTTTGTTTTTTCAATATCATATAACGAATTCGTTTTACGCCAAGGAAATGCCGAGATAGAAATCGATCGTGGTGCGTATATCTACGACTTCGCATATATACTGGGTGTGTTGTTGAATTTTATTACTATATATATATATATATAAAATAAAATAAAATAAAATAATTATATAAAAAAAAGCCTATACAAACGATTACCTAAGCATTATCAAATGAAAGTTAAATAACGTTTAATAAAGTAATTCGATTTATTAACAAATATTTAATGATTACTCACACACAAGACAAGACTTTAATAAATATTTGATATCTTTATCTATATAATATTGCGACCGATATCGATTTGACATTTGACATTTCGTGGATTTAACTTCTCGATAATATTTCAATTATTTGTTATAACAGACTTTTGAATATGTTCCATTTTATTTCTTTTTATTTTATTATTTTTTTTTTCGAGACACCGAGTGCGTTACCAAACACACCACACACATACGTATACAAATACAGAAGAGCAGAGCTATAAATCGTCTCTACCAGGGTTACGGTCACAGTTTTCTCTCTTTCTCTATCTTTATCTCTTTCTCTTGGTGTCCCTCGAACCACGGAAATTCTCATTAATCGTATAACCTTGTTCTTACATGGAGCATGTCATCATAGTGGCGCACGGTACGTGGTGCGCAAAAATAAGATTACGTTGAATAATATTTGATACTGAATTTATAAAGAAACAAAAAAAAAATTATATATATCTATATATGTAGATAAGATTATTCATTCAACACCTCTTCCACCTGCCACCGCCCCCCTGCTCCTGCCCCCTCGTATAAAAGAAGCAACGTTTCCCTCTTACCTTCATTCATCTGAACTTTTGTTCTTATTTAAGAAAAGTGTATAAAAGAATATAATATGATGCATTATATTCGAATGAAATTTTCTCCTCGTGACGAATGTTTTCTCATTGAAGTTTAATTCTCTGTGTAACCTGTGTAGCTTAACAAATACATACATGCATATACGCACGAGCGCACGCATACACAGGTGTTCTTCGTATGTACTTTCTCCTCCACATGGTTTTCACCTCATAATATGAAAACCTGTACGTACGTCCTATTTATAATATACTTTTCTAGCATAAAAATAGTCGCGCATTAACGTTACGGTTGCATAAACAACAACGCGCTCCATCTTGTCTATAAGTATATCTTGAAAAAGTCTTTAAAAGAGAGATATATTTTTCACAAAAGAAAAACTATAGGAAATTATATCTATTTAATTTTATATATTACATATACGTACCTGTATCTAAAACGGATAGCTAGGCAAATAACTATATACATATATATATATATATATACACATGTTAATACAAGTATTTGTAAGAGTGTAGAGATACCTTCGTTTTTTCTTATTTCCCGGCGATAAACCTTGGAATTTGTTCGTTTAAATAAAATATTATACATATAGATGTATACTCTAGCGTATACTTAAACACACACACACACACGTGAATATCAGTTACGTAGGCATAATGTATGCACGATCTAAATGTATATAAGAAGAAGGCTACATTGAAAAAAGGTATATATCTACGCTCGGTGATCAAAGAAACTTCGTTATATTATTTGCATTTTGACACTTGGTATTTTCATCGAGAATTCTCCTTTCGAACTAGTAAGGATAAACACGATTATTTCGATAGAGATTTTATTCTTACAAGCTGTTTAACTTATTACTAAATGATACAACAAACACATATACATATACACACACATGCATCAATCCCATCGTTTGTCTCCAGTCTCTTTTCGCAATCATTTTAAACGCAACAAATTTGTAATCATTGCGAAATGCAATAGTATCGAAAGGAGGAGGAGGAGGAGGAGGAGGAGTTGGTATGCATGTACTTTTGAAACATTCCAAATTCTCTCTCTCTCTCTCTCTCTCTTTTTCTTACTATTAGCTCGATACGGTACGATGTTATAAACATAATAAAAAAAAAATTAGTTGCTAAACATTCGGGGCGTGGTTATGTGGAAATGCTTTTCTTTTTCTTTATATCAACCCTTCTCTTTTCAACTTTCGGTGTTCCTCGCCCCCATTTCATTATATATATATCTCTTTCTCACTCTACTTGGCCGAGGATTTACGAACTCAACCGAGTACAGTGTCTCCTTCCTTCTCTTTCACGATATAATGCCAAAGAAGCGATCGTAGGAGAGTAGTAAGGACGATGCTGGTGGTGAAGGGAAAAAGAGAAGGTTAGAGGGTTGATTTGCTAGAAAAAGATACCAAGATTTACTATCTCTCTTTCTCTCATTCGCGTATACCATCCCTTGACATTGGGGTAACGAAGAGAGACTGTAGGAAAGAGAGAGAAGGAAAGTAGACTGCACGTGTACACCTATATGTACTCGTTTGTGCGCATGCTTTCATATGTATGTGTTTGTGATGAACCTGTATATGCGTATGCACGCGCGGTCTCTCTCTCTTTCCGTGTGTGTGTGTTTGTGTATGTGTATGTGTGTTGGGTTAACGTTAGATAGAACGAGTAAGAGAGAATGGTAAAACACGGTGAGAAAGAGAGAGACGCATAATACTGAACAGTACCGTATCTTTTTCTTCACTTATTTTCCTTTTTTTCTATATATTATAAATAGTATCGTTTTTTGTTTCGTTTATCGTTATTCTTATCGACAATTAATATTTTCGTGATAACGCCAAACGCGATCGAATAAATATCATTTTTTATTGATTTTGTTTCTTTTTTTAAATCTCCTTTACCTAATCGAATTTTAATGGAAAATTATTAGATCGAGATTAGAAATGCGAGATAATAAGGAGAACGTTTCAATCGTATACCAATTTCGTGTCAAATTTTCATTCTTATTTATTACATATTTATCGCGACGTAAAAATAAAGAAAAAGACAAATACAATAAGCAGAATAAGTAGATCATTGTATTTGAAAGGAAAAGGGACAAAAGTAAGCGGGAAGTGTAGTTGGGTGGGAATTACGAACACTTATGGTGCACTTAACGTGTACGGAATGTTGCTTACCTTGAAACTAGGGGTACTAGCAATGATCGGTACAGCACTGAGCGTGGTTGTAAGAGAGTAAGAGAGAGAGAGGTAGAGAGTGAGAGGAGGCCTCACCTACCAAGAGAGAGAAACTCCAGTCTTCTCGTGTATATCGAGGTGGTTGGTGAGCGTTGCGATTAATACCGGACTGCACCCGCGGAATCGCATTCCGATCTCCTCGATGTTGTTTATCGAACGTTGCCCTTGTCCTTTGCAAAAATTTCCCCGATTAATATCGATTTTTCTTGATTTTTTAATAAAGAAGATCGATGTCATCTATCGATTATTTTCGTTCGTTGTCATTAATCGAAGGATTCAACAAGGATCATTGGTGTCAGTGAAAATCATTCATAAAAGTTGCTGCCACTTTTGTTAACGAGAAAAAGAAAGAAAAAAAATAATAGTGAGCAAGTGTGTATAAGAGTGAGAGAGAGAGAGAGAGAGAGAGTGAGAGATAGAGAAATAATAAATGAGAGAAAGAGATAGAGAAAATTGAAGATAATTTATTATCTTTCAAAGAGTCATATGAGATAAGAAATAAATTTGATGATTGAATTTTTTTGAGAGAATAGTAATCCTCAGTTTGGTTGGTTGGTTGGTTGGACCACTCTGTGTCGGATGCGAGCAATCTTGCGTCTCGTTGTCAGTGACGTAATTGTAGTCGGTGAATCGCCACTGTCGCTGGAGGCGGCGTTGCATAAAACGTATATACGTAATATCCGCGACCGGTTTTTCGTATTTTAGAAAATAAATCGAGAAGCACGTCTTTCTTTATTCTTATCTCTCTCTCTCTCTCACTCATTCTTTTTCTTTCTTTTCTCTCTTTAAATTTCTCGATTTGTAAATTGCGAAAATAAGGAGATGATTATTATTCGTCGATGGTATTATAAAATTGTCCACAAAAACGCGGCCAATTCTTTCAACCATTTTTTTTTTATTCTCTCTCTCATTCCTCCTTCCTTTTGAACGATCGTTTAACTACAATGTTATATAAATTGAATCGACTTATAATCCCGAGAAGAGTAAAAATTATTTTCAACATCGGATTTTATTCTGATCGATTCGATCCGATCGATTAGATGAAAATAAAAAAACGCGGATGATCGTCTCCACGTTTGTTACGTTAAAATTAGAAGATCTAATATATATCATTTATATTGGAACATGTCAAAATTCGATAAGTTATTATCGTAACTCAGGATATTATTACATTTAGAGAAAGAGAGAAAGAGAGAG